GATTAGTGTATAGGTGACGGATACCACAAATGCAGGTCCCAAGGTGGAAGTTCACGCCCAAATCAGTCCTAAAACCAGCCTCCACTGAAGATGGAGTAGTGTATAGGTGAAGTTGATTCAGCAATACAGTTTTCAGCAAAACTGCAACCCAACTACTTGGATTGAATTAGGAAGGTGAGCCTGAATTTCCTCTGAATTTCTCTATTAGTCCTTGAAAGCCTGGGTCGTGATAGGGTTTCTTGAAAGACAAAAGAGAAGAAGAGAGAACAAGAAAGAGTTGTGCTCTTGTCTAGTTTGCTTTCTTCTTCTTTTATCTCCTTATGGAGCACTCTTCTAATCAAATTAGGAGATTATCCAAATCTAATTTGGATCTGGACTCTATTAAGAGATAAGCCTTATCCTCTTAAGATGATGTGTGTTTCATACCCATTTTCAAACCCAGATTCGACCCAGAGCACATGACAATTTGACAGTTTACTTAATCTTATTAATTATGGGCCTAAGGCCCATTTACCTAAAAGGCTCACGACCCAAGATGTTGCATGGCCACTTTAGGCTTGATATTGTATGCCGTGGAACCCACAATGACCTCAATTAAGTCCACATGGATTCGGCTTAGCATCTGTGAAAAGATTTAGTTGAATTCACTACTAAAGGCAGTGAACCACTGAGCACATTACTATGGGCTCAATATGGGCCCAACATTTACACTTAAATGATCCTTAAATTCAGCCATTCTATGAAGACCCAAGGATAATGGACTTAAGTAAGATAAAGTCCATCAGGTAATCGGCCCTGTAATGGTATCTTACACTTAACCTCTCGGCCTATAATGATCAAACACTTCCCGACAGGGAAGGATCTCTCCCCTAGCTGCAAGGTGCAACGTCACACTATCTACTTGGATGGATCCTAGAAATTAAAACATTTTGCAAACATTTTTCACTAAACATTAATACATATATATATATATATATTTTGATCAATAACACTTTCATTAATTCATCAGTAGAAAATTTACAAGTGGAAGACAAACACACTTATCTTCCAAGAGTCACAAAGAACTTCCAGAAATGAAAAAAGAAAATACAAAGATACAGAGACACTAACGTTACAGCTTAGCCCAAAACAAAGAATCCCTTTCTGCCCCTTGTTTTGCTAAACCGTCAGCTAGGGAATTAGCTGATCTTTTAATCCAACATGTATTAACTTCCATCTC